AAAAAAAAAAAAAAAGAACAGATCCAACAATGTTGTCTTGCAGGTAAGAAATCTTGATAGTGGTCCTGGATGTGAGAAACAGCTTCACCCCATGAGAACTTGCAAGGCCTGTCTTTGAAATATGTAGATAACCATGCATGATGCCTTTCCTTAAACCTCAAAATTTTGGGGTGTCTTTTTCTCTCATGTTTTATTAACTCTTTAAATCAATTATATGACTTCTATAGGATGGCCAGATGATGAGGTGCATGTTCTATGGGCCCCCATGTGCACATCACCCAACTTTGAAGCTAGATTTCTTTTCATGAAATCTGGAATCCATCTCCCTCCAACCCCAGCTAAGTGGGCAGAGTCCTCGCTCTTTGTACAATAAAACTGTGAGTACAAAGCACTGGCTATTGTCCAGATTCAAGAAGGGAATCCTTATGTTTTCCTGTCCTGTTGCTGCCAACTCTGTTCTGGGAAATACCGGCATTTTCTATCATGCTCCAAACTTTCAACTGCAGCTAGTATTAATTTCAAAGCCACATTTATATTTTTAGTAATTTTATACCTACTTCTAGTTACCAGAATCCATATTCCTGTTGCTATTATAATAAATTCCCCCATGCTTAGTGCTAAAATTAAGGGAACTACACCGTCTTATAGTTCTGTGGATCAAATGTCTAAAAACAGTTCAGATCGTTAATCCTACTAGAGGGTGAAGGGCAGTCTGTTTTCTTGCCTTTTTCAACTTCTAGAAGCTACCTGTACTTCTTCACCCTGGTGCCCTTGCTAAATCTTGAAAGACTCTCTCTAACACCATTCTTCCACTTTGCTTGCTGCCTACTTCTACCATCACAAATTGCCGATGATTCTGACCCTTCTTCCCTGCTTACAAGGGCCTTTGTGATTATATTGGTCTGCCCAGATAATCTAGGCTAATAATTTCACCATCTCAAAATCCTTAAATTAATTAACCTCAGCAACATTGCTTCTGAATGTAACATGAAAATTTCCAGGCATTAGGTTAGGATGTGAACCTCTGAGGGGGGTCCACATTGAGATTACCACAGCTGGGGACCAAGCAAAGCTTAACCGTGGCCTAGGAGATATGGAGCTGATGGGATGTGCAAAACTTCAGGTAACCTTGTGCAAACATTTGTCATCTGTAGGCCCAAAGTTAGGTGGGGACTTAATTGCTTGCATCAGGTAGTTCCTAAGTGTCCCTTGCATCAAAGTGATCCCCAGAGCATCATCAATACATCCTCAAATATTCTGAGTTAGGGTATTGGAAAGAGGAGCCTGGGGTCCTGTGAGAACTGAGGTTCTCCCACATTCAGGATGCTGGAGCCACAGCCAGCCCTGCACTCTCTGACTTGGGCTTTCATGATGTCCTTAGTTCTGGCCTGGGCTTAGTTCACAAGTAGGAGTGAGAGGGCCTATGGAGGTCAGGCATTCAGAACCTTGTAGAATTCGAAATACCAACTGTTTGGCCATCCAGTGGGATGGAATTTTTAAAAGGCTTTCAACAACAAAATACATCTAAGACTTTTCAGTTGGATGAGGAGGCTTAAGGAGAGAGCAGGCCTCCAACTGGGAAGCCCCTGTCTAAATGATAGGCCCCAGTGGGGTGTGAAGGAGTAGAGAAATGTCCCAAGAACTGAATGTAAGAAGGGACTTTGCATATTATTACTGGTAGGTCAGAAAAGTCCAAAATTTTTTGAAGTAAAAAATTTTGCTGCCAAGAAAATCAGAAGCCAAAGCTAAAGACTTCCTTCTAGCTGTCAAGCAACGGTGTCATACACAGCTCCATATGTTTGTATATGGATCAACATATGTGGATGTGAATATATGTTCATTTCTGCTGGCTCTTTTTCACATATATGTTTTTGAAATATATATATTTGAAACATATATATATTTGGAAAATAGCTAACAGTAACGGTAGCATAAACACTGTCTCAGAGGTAAAGACAAACTTGATGTAAAGTGACAACTTTGAGGTGGCCCCATCCTTGACCTGAGAAAATGTAAGAATTCTAAGAACTGCCTGTGTGAGACCAGACAAACCCTATATTCAAAAGCAAAATAAGTAATTTTTATTTTAGTCACTGCATCTTTCCTTCCTTCCTTTTTCTACATAAAGTGATGTATGTACTTAGAAAGGAAAAAGCTTGTAGCAGACATGGCTCAACATTGCGGCCTTTGAGGCAAGCCCCTACTTTACCTTCACTTGACTTTTAAATGGGAACCTGGCCAGTTTCAATTTCCACTCTCTATCTATTGCACAGGACAGGACGATGACTCAATAGCAGCATTACTCTATCTTGTGATTCATTCATAAAACAACCACAGCTCTTATAAAAACCAGACACAGAGCCGCTAGGCAGAGTATTGAGACAAACTGGGAAACCAGCCACTTCTGCCTGCAGCTGCATCCTCACCCTCCAGCATGAAGGTCTCCGCAGTCCTCCTGTGCCTGCTGCTCACCGCTGCCACCCTCAGCACCCAAGTGCTCGCCCAGCCAGGTAAGCCCTTCTCTGCTCCTTTGAACACTTCATCCCATTCCTGGGTTGGCACAGGCCACCAGAGCAGAAGGGGTGCCCAGTCTCACGCTGACCACTGATTAGCCAAGCCCAGGGCAGCGTGTCAACCTGCTCACACAGCTGTTGCTGGGCAGCTGGACAAGAATGTTGACTGTACACCCCAAACCTGGCTCCTTCCTGAGCTCCAACTCTGTACTCTCAGGGCAATGTCTGGTCTGGCCCTGTTCAACAAGGTTTGGGCACTGGGGTGATCCAAGACAGGGAGCCTGTGGTGGCGGGAGTTGGGGGCATTTTCTGCAATGATGATAGGGCAAGGAAGAGACCCAGAATGTGGACAGTGCATCATTGAGAGTGGCTCCCAGAGACAAGGCTCTGTAGAGGCAGAGGGTATCATGGAAACTTATGGCCAAGCTAGATAGCTCAGAGCCCAAAGGATTCCATTGCCAAGGCCTGCTTGTCCTAATGGAATATTAAGTTATTTTATAGCCCTCTCCTAGCCACACTCTAAGTCTAACTATCAAAAGTTCCTCTCTCCATCTCCATTATCAGGGAGCCTTCCCATTTGACCATGGAGAGCCACAGAGGAGGCAGACTGGACTTGGGGTGGGCTGTCTCCCTTCCCTCTGACTCCTCCTGTTTACACACACTTCACTATGGCATAAATAGAGACACCCTGCACACACCTGAAAGAGCCTCATTTGTTGTTTCATTGCAGTTGCAATAAATAGAAACATCTGCTGTTTTAACTACATCTCAAAGAAGATACCTATGAAGCTCCTGGACACCTACAGCAGAATCACCAACAGCCGGTGTCCCAAGGAAGCTGTGATGTAAGTGGACAATGATCATTCCTTCTCCATGCTCCTGAGTCCTTCCCCCGGCAGGGGATTCCATTTTGATCAGGCCAAGTTGGTGTCAAAGACCAGATGTTTAGGCCACCCCTAACCTAATCCCAGAAATCTCCCAGTGGGAAACTGAAGTCAAGAAGGTCACTCCCAGCTCACTCCCAGCATCCCACCCAGCTCCTGGTTCTGTTTCAGTGCCATCCAGGAGCCAAGGAGGCTTCACTGTTGTCAGTCAATAGCTGTTTCCCCTGAGGGGCTTCCTCTCCTACCTTTGAGACAGCCCCATTCCCCATGTTCTTGTGGGACATTGTCCTTCAGTGTGTGACTCGCCCTGGTTGAACTTCCAGGTGCTCCCTCTAACTGTGTCCTCTCCTCCCCGCAGATTCAAAACCAAAGGGGGCAGGGAGATCTGTGCTGACCCCAGTCTTGAATGGGTCCTGGATTCCATGAAGCGCCTGGACAACCAAACCCACAATCCGAAGCCTTGACCTCTCACTCCTGCACTGAAGTCAAATCAGACCTAACAAACAACTAATTTATATTATCTATCTTTTTCAAGATGTGTTCCGAAGTTATTTTATTATAATTTTAAGCAATGTGAGTTTTATGTAGTAGTATGTATGCTATTTATCTTCAGTAGTGTTTCCCGTATCTTGGAAATATTTAATAGTTTCATTTAATGTTCCATGTAACAGCGTGGGCTTTGGTAGCCAATCCTAGTATTATAGGGAAATTCCCTAACACTTGCACATATCAAGTCACTTCAGTCCCCTAAAACCTACAGAAGGCTCCTCTCTCACTACCTCACTGTGATACTGAGAACGTCCTTGTAAAACCCAATGCAAACACATATTTTTAATTTTGAAGAGGTGATGTCCCTATGTAACCAGAATGTTATTTTCATTGGGTGGGGGGCGGTATTAAATGTTTTTATATGCATGACTTTCAAAATTTCACATAAAATATTATTTTTTATAAAACCCGACTTTGGTGGCTTTTTTAAAGGAAAAGATAAAGCTGTTGGGATAACAGGGGAAGACTGCTTTCAAAAGGTAGGGCTCATGGCTCAAGTTCTATAACAGAAGAATGAGTGTATGATGGCCCCTGGGCTTGCTCCAGCCTGGGCTCACCTGCAGGTCAAGGAGAATCAGGTAGATTGGGAAGGACTTAGCCAGCCTCACTGCTCCAGGCTTGACATCAGCTCAGCCACTTGCTCAAAAAAACCTTCTCCTCCAAGACTAATCTCTTCTCACAATCCCATGTCCCTCCCTAAAGCCCTCCCCAACTCTATTGCAACACTAAACTGGCTTAGCTTTTCCTCTTCTAGTCAAATGTAAATCCAAATATTACAAATACCACTTGCATTGAGAAATCAAAGAAGAGACCAACAGCTGCTTCCATGTAATGAGGAAAAGAATAGGAAGGAGTTGAGGGTAGAAGGGATTGGAGTAGCCATGGACCCAGCTATATAATCCAAGACCCTTAGGTGCCAATGCCTAGGTTACAAAGCCCAAGACCCAAGCAGGTAGCAGACTCTGTAGGCTGTGTCTGTCACAGGCTCAAAAGGTGAAAGATGAATATATGGAGATTGAGCCCATTGTGGGATCTCCTGTCCCTTTCAGATTCTTTCTATTCACAATTAATAAACCCAGGCTGACAAGGAGTGAGCCCCACACACATAGAAGCCCTCTCTATCAGGGCAATCTCTACACCAGTGCCAGGCAGCAGCCCTCTGCCCACCTGTGCCTATGCAGGTGCTTCTTTCCACCCGCTGCCTCCCCCTGCAGGGCAGCAGCTTCCTGCCTGCCTGTGACCTGTACCACGCCCAGGCTTCTCTGCACTGACCTCCTGCAGCAGAGTCCAGTGTCCTTAAAGTTGCTCTCCTGCAGCCATGCAGTCCTCTCTCAGCAAATCTGTCCCTTTCGGGGCAGCTCTTCCTGCCCGCTTGTGCCTGTGCAAGTGTTCAATACTCTTGCCCTCTTCCCTAATAAACCAGCTCTTTAAATATAACTAAGGTCTCTGTCTCATGGAGAAACTCTTCTGGGTATCTCACCATGTGCCATTGAAAGGGGAGATCTGGTGAAACCTTCCCTAGAGTGAACCCAAGGACCCCACACTAACTCCAAAAATAGCATCATTTGCAAGACCCCTTCTATATGTGGGAAACATGTGTCTTGAAAAAAGTCTATTCTACAGTTGGAGGAAGAATAGAGTATGAGACTCTGGACCTAGGGCAGGTCCTGGCAAACCGTTGATAACTTCAAGCTGACCTCCTTGCAGACAGAGGGTTTATATCAAGATGGCAGGAGAAATGAGTCAGCTTTGTGGCAAGTAGCAATTTGCTCACTGCCACTGATGGAGGTTAAATGTGGAAAACTTGGAAAGGAGGCACCACAAGGCCAGAACCCTGGCTCATGAAATGCTGCGAGCAGGACATGGGGTGGAAGTGAGGAACATAGTTGTTAAACCAGCTACTGAAATGCAAACTCCTTAGGTGCCAACTGCCAACTTCTAGAGCAAGTACCAGGCTGAGACCGAGTATCAGGAGGCACAGGTCAGAGGTGGGGATATGGAGACTGAGGGTCATTCTAGAGAATCACTGTCTTTACAAATCAACCTGTTACAGGGTACCCCAATGTGAATTGGGTTGCCTATCTGTGGGTTCTCACCTGTGTGCTTAACATTCAATGGTATTACGGACACACACACAAAAGGTTTGATGAAGGAGAAAGGTAAAGGAACAACCCAGGGAAAGAGAGAGAAATACAAGTTAACTAGAATGTCCTACCAGTTCTGCTGACTTGGACTCAATAGCACACTGAAAACCGATCGAGAGCCAAACGAGACCAGCCACGAACCACCAGGCCAAGAGACCCCCAGGACTCACATGTCCGGTTTTATCCCAACCTGGCTGCTCAGCTCCGCCCTCACATCCCAGTGTGCTTCTCCTTGGTATTGATGGAATTTGTAGTTCCAGTACCTGAAGTGGGGGTGAAGTCCATGAAACCTGTATCTGTTACAAACCTAGTCCCCCCTTAAAAGGGCTGAACCCCTCTCAAAGGGAAGAGGATGTGGAGATTGAAGGCCATTGGAGAATCTCTAGTCCTTGTCAAATTCTGTAGTTATTAAAAATTAATAAAAGGAGCCCTTCCTGGTGGCACAATGGGTTAAAGCACAACACTTTGAAGCTAGCCACAGCCCTTCAGCACAAGTTCTAGACCCACCAGGGAGCTGACCCACATGGCACAGCAGACCTCTCTTGTCTCACCCACTGCTCCCCTCAGCAGTGTACTTCGTCAATCTGCCTGCTCTGCTCCCTACTCTGTCTCTGGTGAATTTTCTCACTGCCCCTGCACCTCTGGCCTGTACCTCAGTTCTGTATACAGAAATAAATAAATCTTTAAAAAAAATTATTAAAAAGTAACAATTCCACCAAAGAATGAGCCCCTCTCACAGAGAAGACCAAATCAGGGCAAATTTTGCACTGGCAAGGGGTGCAGTTACAAATAACCAGGCTCTCAGATAGGCATTAACAAGTTTGTCTCATCCCTATTTCTTACCATTTCCTCTTTGTTTGACAAATTTGTCTTCTTGCATTTCAAAGAAAAGGCAGTTTAACAACAATTGTGTAAAAAGCAAGCTGATGTCCTCCCCTTTCAGTGCTGACCCTTCCACCCTCCCCTGTACAGACCCTTGCCCATCTCCCCCTTTTTTTTTCCCCTTTGTATAAATAACCCTGCACCCTGCCAAAGAGCAGGGCGGTGGTCTTTCCCCGACAAGAGATTACAGCCCTCCTTATCTGTTCACAGATTAAACCACTTTACTTCAAACTCAGTTTCTGTTCACTGGCTGAGGGAAACTGAGGCCGACAGTCTCAATTTGGTGAGCCAGCCAGGAGCTGGATGCCACCTGGGCTCTCCCAGCCCCCAACTGTCTTCCAGGAGTGGACCAGTTGGCCGTGGTGGTGCACCAGGCCTATGGGTCCATGCAGTCGGAGTGAGCCTGGCAACCCGGTGGCGTCCTGGCCCTCCTGCTGAGTGGGAGCAACTGCTCTTCAGAAGGATGAAGAAAATTCCCAGCTGCTGCTGGAGTGATTCCTCCAGGGAACTTCTCCTAGGAGAGGCACAGCTCTTCTCTGCCCCATGGATTCACCTTTAAGGAGTTGGAAACTGGACGGAAAACTGCGGTCCCCAGGTTTGGAGAAAGTTCACCGAGTGTGCTCACTGAGATCCTCACCTTCACACATTTGGGAGGGATCTGAATTCCCCTCAGGGAGGGTGTCCAATTCCCCTCAATTTGGGAGGGAGTCTATGAGTCCCCCTTGATTTGAGGTGGCATTGGTGTGTTAGGCCTGGCTGAATGGGAATTGGGAAATACTTGTTATTTTTTTTTACTGGTATTTACAGTTTTCTGTCTGTTGTGGGAAGCCAGGGATTTGGTTAAAAATTGGTCCCTCTGCTCTCCCTGGTGACGCAGCGGGTTAAAACACAGCACTGAGAAGCTAAAGCTACTTACGCATGAGTTCGATCCCCGCCTGCCCCGGAGGAGATCCACATGGAGTGGCAGACCTCTCCTTACCGCCCGCTGCTCCCCTCAGCAGT